TAATTCTAAAAGGGTAAGGATTTAACCTATCCTATTACTATAAATAAAGGCATAATGGGGTGATACAACACACATCTCACAATTAAATCTCTCTCTTCTCTCTCTTGTTGCCGGCCTTTTTCCCTCTCTAGTCCTAAATACAGTTCTATCAAACAGGCCTACAATAGAATCCATATATTAAATCTTTTTGTGCCTATATTTTTTAAACTTTTATTTGTATTTGTACCCATTTTTTATTTTGCTAAATGTACCCATGCTAATTATATGTATTTATTTTATGTTTTAAAATATATCCATAGTTATTTTTTCAAATATGTTAATAATTATGTGGGTACATTATTATTTTTGCTATAATTTTTGTGAAGAACAATGTTTCTCTAAATTTGATTTTTAAGTATTTATTATATTTTAAAAATATTATTTGAATTTTTTAAATTTCATAATTTGTGGAACATTAAATGCATAAATGCATGAGTGATATCTCTTAATTGATGCTAAGAATCTCGATCAAAATATTTAAACAAACAAGATTTCAGTCTAACAATAAGGTTGATTAGGGACTGGAACCAAAATGACCCATAAATAAAACCTTAATAATTTATGAGTTCGAAAGAAGGAGCTTGAACACAAGACCTCAAGTGCATAGTTAATCCTTCTTTTTACCATATATCTTACCATGTTTTTTATTCATATAGACGGAATGCTTACATATTTGATTTTTAAATTTTAAAAGGATAAAATATATATTTTTCTTTTACAAGCGATATTACTACTCTAAGTTATATTAAGAAGAAGAAGAAGAAGAATGCTTGAACATGAGACGCAATGAGTTGAGGATAAAAGTGTTATCCAATAGGGCGGTTCACCAGTTGTAGAATGGCAAAGTTGGTATTTAAGGAAAAAATATTTAGCTCAGTCAATTTCAGCCATTAGATGTAGTAATAAAAGGAAAGTTATTTTCACACACCATTTTCTCCTAAAAATTAAATTGAACAAACCAATAATAAGAATTTAATGTTGAACGCACAAATCAAATCAAACTAATGAATTTACATAGGCTTTTCTCCTAACCTTAGCTAAGAGATTAGTTCTCTATAAAAGGAAAGTTATTTTCACATACCATTTTCTCCTAAAAATTTAATTGAACAAACCAATAATAAGAATTTAATGTTGAACGCACAAATCGAATCAAACTAATGAATTTACATAGGCTTTTCTCGTAACCTTAGCTAAGAGATTAGTTCTCTATAAAAGAATAAATAAATAAAGAATGGACAAAAGTGTTATCCACTCTTCGTCCAGATCTAGTCGTAGTGAGTGATCGAGGGCCCGATGAACCTTTAGAAAACGGAAGAAAGTGAAAACGAAAAGGAAATTGATGAACTTTTTTTTCTTCCAAACCTCTCTAAGCAGAAGGAACAGCAAAGAAAGATTTCCCTACTTCTCATAATCTTCAGTGTTCAACGTGGAGTTGTGGTTCATGGCAGTTTTCTTTTCCATCAGTTTGTGGTTTTCTCTAGAGTCCCACGACATCAAAGTTTTGCACGTTTCATTTTCTTTTTTTCCTTTTTTTTTTAATCTTTTATTTGTTATGCTTTTCTTACAAAATTACCCATGTTGTGTTTGATGTGTTAATTTGGATTAGTTTTGGATTTTTCTGTTTCAGGGGTGTTTTTGTCCTAAAATTTTGGTGAAACTTAAGACACCAAAATTGACTGCTAACTTTCTAATATTAGAGATTAGAGATTAGTTCAAAAGAACGAGCTTGAACACAAGACCTCAAGTGCAGAGTTAATCCTTTTTTTTTTACAATCGATATTACTACTCTAAGTTGGATTAAAAAGAAGGAGTAGATTTGAATATGAGACGCACTGAGTTGAAGATGACAGTTTTATCCAATAGGGCAATTTACTAATAGTAGAATGGTAAAGTTGGTAATTTGGAGAAATAATTTAGCTGAGTCAATTTCAGTCGATAGATGTAGTAATAAAAGAAAGTTACTTTCACACCATTTTCTCCTGCTATACACTCATGTCTATTTCTGTTTTTCGGATTGAAAAATCAAAATAAAATAATGTACGGAAATCACTTCTTGTATTAAAATCAACCTATCCACAAGACCAAAAAAGTAAATAAATAAATAAATAATACTGAAGAAAAAAAATGTACGTGTCGTGGCTTGATCAGCCCATAACTGATCGGGCTTAACCCAAAAGGAAAAACAAACAGGACAAGAAATTTGGCCCAAATAATATATATCAACTTGTTCTGATTACATATCAAAATTCTAAAATACTTTTTCAAGCCTCTGCTTCATCACCATGCTCTCTCGGCTTCTACCCAAACCCTCACATTTCTCTCGCCTAACCCTAATCTCCCCAAAGTTCCATCCCTTCCCCCAACCCCAAAACCCCCTTTTGACTACTTTCACTCCAAGGTTCTTCTCCGGTGACGATGGTCAGGGTCCCTCCCAATCAGATGTTTGGAGGCTTTCTCAGGAAACCGATGGAAAGTTCGACCCTTTATTCGGCGAGAGCTCCGGGGACGTTTCCGGGATTGCAGAAGTTGAGTCCAGCGAGGCCGATTCCGATTGGTTGAAGGGGAGAGCAGGCGAGGAGCTGTGGGGCTTGGGAGAGGAGGAGAAGAGTGACTTGTTCGATATTGGAGAGGGTGTACAGACTGTTACCGCCATTGACAGTGAGACAAGTAGAGAGGAGATTGAGAAGGCTGAACAGGCTAAGAGGCTTGAGAAAGAGGAGCGGGAGCTTACTGCTGTTCTCAAAGGTTACTTCGTTTTCGTAAATTTCTGGATAACATTGATATGCTTAAGAGTAGGAAAGTGTATAGCTTAGTGGAACAACTTGTACTGTACTAAATCCTTTTGGGTTGATTTGGGCACCAACCAATTGTATGTTTCGTTGTTGGGAGGTCTGCAAGTTCATTAAAATATTGGTGTGTCTATTGTTCTGCTTTTGCTTTTGGGAACTACACTACTGCTTATTGATTAATGGAGGAGGAGTTAAAATTATGAGATATCTTGTTAGGTTTAGCTGCAAGCACTCTACATGGGATAAGATTATTTCTTCAGCTTTCTCGAAGTTTTATAGTTCAAATAGTACTTTGTTTTGAATGCAGTTGCTGATTCATTTATCAGCTAGGTGACTCTTTAGGTGTTATACTGATTCAGTATGGTAACTGCAGGTCCGAATCGTGCCTTTGGTGACCTTATTGCTGCATCTGGAATCACAGATGAAATGCTTGACACTTTGATTGCATTGAAGGATTTTCAAGGGATAAAGGGATTGCCCCCTCTATCAGAGATTGAAGACATTCGTTACGAGAAAAATACCAGAAAATCCTCAAGAGCTGAAATAGAGCGCCAGAAACAGGAGGAAGTTGCCAAAGCAAGAGTGAGAACAGTAGACGACAAGGGGAGAGCTTATGGAACAGGAAGAAGGAAATGCAGTGTAGCACGTGTGTGGATTCAACCTGGTAATGGTAAATTCACAATTAATGATAAACAATTTGACGCCTATTTTCCAATGCTTGATCATCGTGCTGCTCTCCTCCGACCTTTCTCTGAGACAAAAACATTGGGCCTTTGGGACATCGCTTGTACTGTTCAAGGAGGCGGCACCACAGGTAAGCCTAAGTTTGTTGCTACGCACTTTATTTTGATTTATATGTTAACTGTTTTCCTTGATATTGACTTGTTTGAGATTCAATTCAACTGCTGTTTCCCTCCATTATCCTTGAACTTGCAATTCTATAGCTTTATATGCCAGAAAACCACAAAATTTGTCTCGCTACTTACTAGCTACACTGCCAAACTCTCATGGAAAACAAATTTCTGTCCAGTTCCATATGTTAGTAAAGCTTTTCTTCCCCTGCTCTCATGAAGTCAAATGAATGCGAGTGATTTCTTCCTAGGTTGTTAGGGTGAATTAATTGTGCTTAGATTTTCATTTCACATCAAATAATTAAACTGAAACAGAGCAGAGGAAAAGAGAAGACAATCGAAGCCAACATCTCGACAAAATTAAATACGAATTGATTGTAATTTCTAAAGATTGTTTCGTGCTTTTTGATGCTGGCTCTTCTTCCTATATAGTAGTTGAGTACAAAAATACTGTTTGTGCAAATTGTTACTCTTAACAGTAACTCCTTTTTAAAGAACAACGTTTTATATGTTTGGTACGTTGATTCTTTGCACAAACGTTTTTGTTTGTGTTAAATATGGAAAATTAAAAAGGTGTTTTTTCCAGGTCAAGTTGGAGCAATTCAATTAGGAGTGAGCAGGGCCTTGCAAAATTGGGAACCCGACTTGCGTCCTGCTCTCAAAGAATGTAAATATTTCTCTTCCCCTTTGTCCGCTGGTTATGTCTGGCTTATAAGGAGAAACAGATCTTAACCTTGCAATGTCTATCTGCCCCTTTCTTGCTAACCCAGCAACTTGTTTGTGTTTCCAGCTGGTTTCTTGACAAGGGACTCGCGTGTGGTGGAAAGGAAAAAACCCGGAAAAGCCAAAGCAAGGAAGAGCTTCCAGTGGGTCAAGCGTTGATCAAGTACGCCGAGCTTGGTTTTCTGCGCAGTTTTGTTTGGAACTTAAAAGTATGATTTACTGCAATAACTTATTGAGATCAACTCGTATGGCATTTCAAGTGTAGCTTGTGATAGACGATGAGTGGTAGAAGAATTTTGTAGATGTTGTGGTGTGAGAAAACATCCGGAGCTATTTGATTTGTTTCTGATCCTTCATTGCTTCCAGTCGACATTTTGTACTAGTAACTTTTACTGGTTTTATTTGCGAACTTAGGTAATATTTGAGTTGTCTTATGAAGTGATTACCGTCCAACTTAGTAACGCATTTCAGCACGTAAACGCGTTTAGTAGTACACGCTGTAGTTTTCTTCTTTGCAGCCAAAGCATCATTGAGACACGAGTTGAATTTCAGAGAGTTCATTTAAAATTGAGACGGCTTCTGAAATAAGAGGACTACGGAAGGCAACGATACAAGTTGATTGTTCACGTAAAGTTCAATTCTGCAAGACAGTGAGACATCAAATCTGAAATACAAGACATGCTTCCACATCATTATTGAGTTTTTCAACAACACTAGTGAATCTGTGACTAAATTTGTAATGTTCCACAAGTGAGAATCATTTTTCGTTGAAAACTCGAGTGAGGCAGTTTCTATCTCACAGGAATGAGCATGAATTTTCATGCCCAAGTAACTCATTCCGCGAACGAAACGGGTCCTGGTCGTGATGGCTCCGTGGTAAGCAAGTTTCTTGAGTAGTCGCAGCAGCAGCCGCATGCTTCGGCCTTGGGAGGACCTGGAAACTGGCTCCAACGAAGCAATAATGCAAAATTTGGTATATCTACACAATTCATCACCTTAAAGGGCTCACAACCCAACCTGTGATCGGACTCTGCCTACGAACCCTAACTCTCCTATGTGAACCGCTCTGCAATCGTTCAAGCACTGCGTATGTAATCCAATCCGGTGACAACCCTTGCTGCTTAAGTTTCGCATATAGGTCCACTGCCTCAGCAGTCCTCCCACACCTCTCAAGACAATCAAGCAAGATGTTGTATGTCACTATATTCGGATAGCAGCCTTGAGCAAGCATGTCGTCAAACAGCCTGCATGCCATTTCAACCCTATCCGTCTTGCCAAAGCACTCGATCAGAGTGCTGTAGGTGACAACATCAGGGCTAAAACCCTTCTCTTGCATCTCCTTAAACCTCATGTGGGCTTCATCCACATCACCATTTTTCCCAAGGCAATTGATCAACGAATTGTAAGAGATAATATCCGGTTTACAATCACTATTCTCGAGATGTTCGAATATCGTCACAGCCTCATGAACCTTCCCAGCTCTACCAAAGCTCGAAATCATAATGTTGTAGGTAAATATGTCCGGTTCAGGCCCATCAAGTTTCATCTTTTCGTACAGTTCGTGAAGATGGGGTATCTGCTTCAACTTTCCAAGAGCTGCCAAAACTGTGTTGTACATGATAGTATCAGTAGTTATCCCTTTCTCATGAATGTTACTTAGCATGTCAACCGCCTCTGCAGTTTTACCTGCACTGCACAAACTCTCCAACATTGAAGTATATGCATCCCGATCCCCCATGTCATGGAAGCTCCACATGTTGCAGAACAACCTGTGAGCTTCCCCGGCATGACCCAATTTACTCAATGTCCTCACAAGATATGCATATATCGACTTCGTCATGTACTTCTTCGACATCCCCACCACCTCATCAAACCTACCCAGCTGCCCTTCTGCAACCAAAAGATTCAAAACCACACTGTACGTAAATTCATTAGGCCGGCAATTGTTCTGTACCATTTTCGAGAACACAATGATGGCCTCGTCAACCATCTTGCTCCGAGCAAGAGCCTGAATCATAGTATTATAAAACATCATATTCGGAGCGCAACCCTTGTTCACCATCTCCTGAAACAACCCGAGACACTCATCGCCCTTACCCAATTTCCCAACCATTCTGATCATAATCGTGTACGTAAACTCATCCGGCTCGCAATGCTTCTTCTTCATATCATCAAACACCTTGCGTGCATCCTCAACCTGCCAAATTTCTGCTGCACATCAGAAAATCAGAAACCCACAAAAACCCACATCGAATTCGAACATGTGAGCGCAACCACAATGTAACATTGCATTCAATTCAATCAAAATTCAAACCTTTTCGTCTTTCGCCAATGCATCCATCAGCATGTTGTAGGCAAAAATGTCGAGCTTGTAACCCCGCCGCCGCATGTCGATGTAAGTATCGAAAGCTTTGCCGGAATCGCGAGAGCGCAGGAAGGCCTGAAGCAAGCACTTGTAAGTGTAGCTGTTCATGTTGAGATTCCATTTCTTCACCAACCCAATACAGGTTTCCAAGTCTTCGGTGCTGCCGAACAGGCCGACAAGGATGTTGACGGTGGAGATGTTGCCACGTATGCTGGAGCGGTCCATGTCGCGGAGGATCGACCGGACTAGGTCGAACCGGGCGGGGGAGGTAGACTTGGAGAGGATGAGGAGGATTCGATTGCAGGTGAAGGCGTCGTGGTGGAAATTAGATGAGAGCGAGGGGCAAAATCGGAAGAATTTCACGGCGAGGTCGGGGCAGGTTACCGATTTCAGGATTTCGGAGGCTTCGGACGGGGTGATGTGGAGGGAGAGGGAGGTGAGGTAGTCGGAGAGGTCGGCGAAGGGGTCTGATAACATGGCGGATGGGGATTGGCGGCCGAGGAGGATTTGGGTGGCTTTACAGACGAGGTCGCGCCGCGGGAGAGCGTAGCCGCGGATGTCGGTGGGGAGGGGCGGCGGCGGGGTTACCTCGGCCGAGACCGAAAGGCCGGTTGGGGAGGTTGAGGTTATTTTGGCGGTGTACTTTGTGGCATAGTGGCGGCACGTGGTGGTTGAGGGCGTGGGTTTGGTGAGGCGGAGGAGTCTCAGGTGGTGGCGGGGTTTCATGGTGGCGGCAGTGGCGGGGGTGGTTATTGTTAATTTGGTATTCGAATATTATCGTTAGTAAGAGACTTGGACTGGGTTTGTACTGGTTAAACTGTGTTTTGTAAATAAGCGAACGACGTCGTACACAGAGAGGTTTTTCTGCATTCCACAGCATTGTTTTAATCAAGTTGTAGTGCAGATTCCTATAATATTTTTTTACGCTTAATTTACCTTATTATTTTTAATTAAGCTATCAATATCTTTTTAAACCTAAATTTACAACTTAAGGGCCTGTTTGATATCATATTTGAAATTTTTTATCATTTCTCAAAACGTTTCTTAAGAACATTTCTTGAAAACAATTTTCTTTAAGACTCAAAAATTTGATTGGTTTGCAATTTAAAATTTTTAAATCTTAAACTAGACAAAAAGATCTAAAAAAAAGGGTTGCAGGAGAGGGAGAAAGAAGAGAGGATGAAAGAAATTAAGAGATGATTGAAAAAAAAAAGAGAAGAGAGATAGGTAGAGAGGAAGAAGAGTGAGAGAAAGAACCTATAGAGTGAAGAGAGAGGATTGGAGAAGAGATGGAAAAAGGTGAAAAAAAAAAACAAAAGAGGAGAGAGAAAGAAGAAAAGAGAGATAGATTTGGAGTGACAGGTAGGAGGGAGAGAAAAGAAATGAGTAAGTTTAAGTTTAAAAACTCATTTTTTATGTTTTTAGAGAATAAATTATATTTTTTTAGTTAGTCTTGAGTTCAGTTTTTTAAAATAGTCATATCAAACAAGTTTTTAAGGCCTACAACTTGAAAATTTTTCTTGAGTTTAAAAAGTTGAATTCAAGTAGAGTACCAAACAGGCCATTAAGATTGTGGCCCCTATGTGGAAACTCAAAATTGTTTTTGAGTTTTAAAAGAGCTAGCTATAAATTACTCTTGGAGACCCAATTCAATATATAAATCTATTTTTACACCCATTCAAAAGTAAAAACTCAAAATCAATGTTCTACAACTCATTCAAGGTGTAAATAGAGCAATATGTCTCACATATTTGTCTCGTGCTTAATGGAGTTCAAATCTTTTGCACTCATAAGGATTATGGCCCCTCTGTGGCTTTCCTAATGTTGTAACACAACTTAACATTGTTAAGTCTTCTGATATCTTCTACTTGCAAAAACAATCTTAATTGCAAAATGAGTAACTTAATAACTATCAAACTCATTGTATCCTATTGCAAAAACAATCTTAATTGTAGAAAGAGTACACTGCAATTACCTCATAGCCACACCCAAAAATCACCACAAATAAGAATTAAAACCCAATAATCAAAGTGATCCTAAGACACATTGTTTATACAAAATCAATTCTAACCTTAATCCCAATTTTGTTGAATCGATAATTAACCTCAGAATCAGATGCTTGAATCAAAAGGAAACATGAATTTCCTCGTGTTCTTCGGTCTTTCCCATCGAAATCCAATCTATGACCCATTTGTACTCATTGGATATGATGAAGTACTCGTCACTCTGATATACAATTGAGTCAAGTTTAAATATTTGTGTTGCTAATATTCGATACTTGCTCCTGCATTTGTCAAGTTCAAGCTTAATTTTAATTAGAGCTAGCTATAAATTGCCCAACTCCTTATTAGAGGATTATTGTTGAGATTATATCGATTCATCTTTTAATTGCAGGACTCAAAACTTTAAAATCACCACCATCGTTCAAAAAGAGCTTGTTTTACTCTATGAAAGCGTGTTAGTATTTTAGCTAGAATGAATGTAGGATAAAGACTGTGTGATGGAAGTTTGATATGATGATGGGGTTTGATTATTAAGTGGGTTGACTGATAAATTTCAATTTTATTGTTAATTTTATTTTGTACTTGATGGTAATTATGCAATAAGGTAAAAAAGATAATTTACATTTAAATTTTAAATTGGGTGTAGAGAGAGGTTATGTGGGTTCAAATAAAATTTCCTTATCGGTATAATGAAAAGTCACTTTATTGTTTTTTTTTTTTTTTGGTTCAGCACTTTATTGTTATAATAAAGATAAATGAGAGAGAAATAACCTTTGTTAGAGATAGAAGTGGAACGGATGCAATGTATCACACTGTTTATTTTCGTAACTATATGTATCACAAAAATGATATAGGCAAAAAGAGGGGAGGAATATAAATATTAGTATTCTTACTTTCGCTCATGATTTTGTAGGATGCAGGTAAAGAAAGAGGAGGGAAACTAGTATTATTACTTTCATTTTTGATCTTGTGTATTGTTACGAGGTTACAAATATCTCCCTAAATATAGACGTTTTGATCCAACGCAGCTTTACATGCATGAAGAAAAATCTTCTCTCCCTAAGACTTTTAAAGGTTGCCACCAAAGTCTAATTTGGTTTGCTTCCTCATATAATTACACATATGGCATTCACACTAAATTTCACAACATTTATCTCTATCTTAGGTCTACCTTAAATTCTATGAACCAATTCCTTCCGATCATAAACACCAAACAAAAAGCCCAAATTAAATAAGTCATAAAAAACATAACATGTTTACATATTTGAAATGGAGGCAGCAAGAAGCTCGATTTAAGTATCATGAAAAAAAATACATCCCTGTTATAACTAGGCAAAAATTAGAGAGGTAACTTTTGCTAGGAACAGGAGCGAAGCGGGTACAATTTATCACACTGTTTAGTTTCATAACTGTAGCACAAAAGGATTGCAAGTAAAGAGAGGAAGAGAGGGATACTGATATTATTGTTTTCACTTCTTTTCTTTTTGCTGTGTGTTGTGATCGCACACAGAGTGCTCTTTAAATAGAGTCACACCTGTGAAAACTTACAAAGGTGAAATGGGTGCTCTTTGAAAAACCTCATACAACAACAACATGGTCACTATTCTAAAGTCTTCCTCATCTTTAGCTAAAAACATGAGGGCATTCACTCCCACAACGTTTACAAACACTCCCCATTAGATGCCACATATCAACATCAGTTGCCTCATTAAAACCTTACTCTGAAAAACCCAGTGGGAAAAAAAATCGTAGCGAAGGAAAAATAGTACAACTTTGCTTAGATTGTTGATGTAGTATTAAGTATATTTATGTCGCCTCGTTAAAACCTTGATAGGAAAACCCCAGTGGGAAAAATCCTAGTCGAAGGAAAAAGAGTACACATACATATATCATGGATGCCCCCTTAATTCTGCATTCTTCAAATTTAACTGATTGGTAAGCTGACGTAATCCAATACCAGCACTAGCTTCTGAAACGTGCACTTTGGTAGAGATTTGGTGAATAAGTCTGCCATATTTTCATTAGAGCGGATTTGTATGACTTCAATAACCTTAGCCTTTTGAAACTCATGTCCATTGAAAAACATTGGAGATATGTGTTTAGTGTTATCGTCCATGATGAATCATTCCTTCATTTGGACAACACATGCATCTTCATGAATGAAGGTTGGAGTGTCTGTCTTTGAAGGTAGATCACATGAATTCCGGATGTGGTGGATCACTGATCTTAACCAAGAACATTCACGAGTTGAGCACCATGAAATTGATGTATTCCCATAATTAACACATATTCAGTTTGTGAGCGGGCCTTATGCAGATCAGAAAGGAAACCAGCATCTACATATCCAACAAGGCTCTGGTCATTTGTGGATTTCTCGAAGCATAAGAGACTCATGTATGTTGTCCCACGAAGGTATCGTAAAACATCTTTGGCTTCCTTCCAATAACGAATTGTTCGAGCAGAGTTATACCTTGCTAACAAGTTGACTGAAGGTCTAGTACATTGTGCTAAATACAATAAAGCACCTATTGCACTCAAATATGGTACTTCTAGACCAAAGACCATTTCATCATCTTCTTCTGGACGAAATTGATATTTCTTAATGTCTAGATAACGAACGACCATTGGTGTGCTAAATGGATAAGCCTTGTACATGCCAAATCGCTTCAAGATTTTTTCAATGTAAGCTGATTGATGGACCAAAATTTCATTAGCACAATGCTCGATCTGGAAGCCAAGGCAATATTTTTTTTCCCAAGGTCTTTCATTTCAAATTCGCTTTTAAGATATTCAACAGTTTTATTGAGCTCTTTAGCAGTTCCAACTAAGATCATATCATTGACATATATTGCCACTATAGCAAGTCTAGAATTTGATTTCTTAATGAACATACAAGGGCAAATGACATTATTGGTATATCCTTCTTTGATTAAATACTCACTAAGACGATTATACCACATTCGTCCATATTGTTTCAGCCCATATCACCTTAATTTGATTGAGAGCATACCTCATGGTTTGTTTGTCATTTCAGGCAACTTAAGTCCTTTTGAAACCTTTATATTTGTCAATATCTAATTCTCCATATAGATACGCGGCGATGACATCCATAAGTCGCATGTCAATTTTTTCTGAAACCACCAAACTTATTAAGTAACAGAACGTAATTGCGTCCATTACAGGAGAGTATGTCTCCTCATAATCAATTTCAGGTCTTTTGAAAAACCTTGTGCAACAAGTCGTGCTTTATATCTTGCAATCTTGTTTTTCTCATTTCGCTTTCTTGTGAATACCCATTTGTAACCCACGAGGTTTAAACCAAGCAGGGTTTAGACTACTGGTTCGGTCCAAAAACACTTTGCATTTCCAAGGAATTTAATTCTGCCTGGATTGCATCTTTCCACTTAGGCCAATCTTATCTCTATTTGCATTCATCAACAGAGCGAGGCTCAATATCATTGCTTAATATGATTTCAGTGGCTACTGCAAATGCAAACATGTCATCGATGATTATTTCATTTCGATACCACAATTCATTAGTACTTGTATAAGTTATGAAGATTTCTTTGCTTTCATGTACTTCTGTCTCTTTAGGGACATGTGTCTCATCAAGGACATTTTCTTTTTCTAGAAGTACAGAATCATGAATTGTGGATTTGTCATTCATTTTCTTTTCCTGAATGATTTCATTTGGATTCAGTTGTGCCCTCATCTTTCTCTTTTGAGGGGCTGACTCTTTTGAAACTAGGGGTCTACCACGCTTCAGGCGTGCACAAGATGAATCATTTGCTGTCATATGTGATTTTATCACTTTTGTAGCATCATTAAATGCATCTGGTATTTGATTAGCAATACTTTGAAAATGAACGATCATTTTCACTTCATCTTCACATTGAGTGCTTCATGGATCAAAATGAGATAAGATGGGTACAACCCATATCAGTTCTTGTCGTTCTTCTAGAACAGTTTTTTCTCCCCCTAACGACGAGAAGACTGTCTCGTCAAAGTGACAATTCACAAAATGAGCTATAAAATATCATTTATCAAAGGTTCTAAATATCTAATGATAGATGGTGAATCAAAACCCACATAAATTTTCAATATGCGTTGAGGTCTCATTTTAGTGCGTTGTGGCAGTGCAATAGGCACATAAACAGAATAACCAAAAACTCGTAAATGTAAAATATTTGGTCGATGCCTAAACATGAGTTGTACTAAGAAGTATTCGTGGTTGGCTATAAGTCTTAATCAAACCAATGATGCAAGATGTAAGATGGCATGTCCCTATGCAGAAACTGGCAATTTTGCTTTCATGAGCAGAGTGCGACCTATTAATTGGAGCCGCTTGATAAATGTTTTTGCTAGACCATTTTGAGTATGGACATGAGGAACAGGGTGTTCAACATCGATGCCTAGTGTCATGCGGTAATCATCAAAGGTTTGAGACATAAATTCACCAGCGTTATCAAGTCGGATTGACTTGATAAGGTAATCTGGGAACTGTGCTAGCAACTTAATTATCTGAGCAAGAAGTCTCGCAAAAGCTACATTTCGAGTAGACAAAAGGTAAACATGTGACCATGGGGTAGATGCATCAACCAAAACCATAAAATATCGAAATAGTCCACAAGGTGGTTTAATAGGCCCACAAATATCCCCTTGAATTCTTTGCAAGAATGATGGGGATTTAGCATCAATCTTTAATTTTGATGGTCTAATTACCAACTTTCCTTGAAAACAAGCCTTGTAAGGGTTATCATTCAATATAGCAATGTGTCTGCTCAATAATAGATGTCCATTAGAGTTCGTAATGATTCTACGCATCATGGTGGATCCTATATGACCCAGATGGTCATGCCAAAGCATGTAAATTTTTTGGTCAATGAACTTTTAGTTCATGACAATATGTGCTTCAATTGTCTGTATGTATGTATAATACAATCTACTCGGTAAACCATGCAACTTCTCCAATGTACACTTTTGAGTATCATTGGAGGTAATGCATAGATATTCCACATTTTCTGCACTTTTAGTTTTAATGTGGTATCCATTTAAACGTATGTCTTTAAAACTCAAGAAATTTCGAGTAGATTAAGTAACGTACAAAACATTTTGTATGGACAATATTGTTCTATTTGGCAACATGATCTAGGGCTTTCCCGAACCTTCAATTACATCTGATTGGCTTGATATTGTTGTTACTTTTACTTTTGTAAGCATCAAGCTTGAGAAATATTTTCAATCTTGAAGTATTGTATGCATGGTTGTGCTATTTGCAAGACAAATATTTCCGCCATTACTCTTGTTTTGAGAATAATCATAGTTTTTATCCATGCTCTCTAAATAAGGGAATCATAGTTAAAAACAATTTATTCATAATAAAAGGAAATTGAAATGCCACTTTTATTGCGAGCTTTAAACTACAAGTTCAGATAATAAGAGTACATCAAACAGAAATGATTCAATCGAACCGATACATTTCATTCCCTCTTTCCACGATGAAGTTTGAGACATCTAGGTGGATTATGTTTAATTGCCGTAATAAATCGAACACTGGATCAAGTATATCTATTGGTTTAGCCTAATCGAGGAAATTGGTTTCGACATCTTTCTCCTTAAGGAAGGCTTGATACAAGTCCACCAGATGTTTTGGGGTACAACAGGTATGCACTCAGTGCCCATTGTCACCACACCTATGGCAAACTTCTTCAGAATTTCTAGGAGTGTTATTTCATACGAGCCTTACCCTTGTGGCGATTTACAATTTTGAAGTTCGGGCCTAAATTATGTTTGGACCCTGGTTGTAAGACTGGACACCATGATTCTTGCTTTTCCTGTTCCACCGGCCTTGCATGTGGTCACATCCTCGTTTGTAATTATTGCCACAAGAGGATGTGGTGTTCACTTCAAGGGAAACAACATTCACTTATGGGAATGGTGCCGATCCAGTTGGTCGAGATTGATGATTTTTCATCAAGAGCTCATTGTTTTGTTCAGCCATAAGGAGCACCGATATTAGCTGGTTGTACTCAATAAAGCCTCACTCTCTATACTGCTGCAGCAAGAGCACGGTGGAGGCATGAAAGGTGTTGAAAGTCTTTTCCAGCATATCTTTCTCAGTGATGGTCTCCCCACAAAGCTTCATCTGTAAGCTAATTTTGAACATTGCAGAGTCGTACTCAGCAACCGACTTGAAATTATGGATCCTTAGGTGTGTCCACTCATAACGAGCCATTGGAAGAATCACCATTTTCTAGTGATTGTATCTATTTATCAATGGCTTCCAGAGGGTTAATGGATCTTCAACCGTTAGGTACTCGTTTTTCGGTCCTTCGTCAAGGTGGCGACGGATAATGATCATGGCCTTCGCCCGATCTTGAGATGACGCATTGTTTCCCTCCTTGATGGTTTCTCCAAGTCTCCATGCCTCCAGATGGATGTTGGTATCCACCACCTAGGTAAGGTAGTTATTCCTAGTAATATCCAGGGCAACAAAATCAAGTTTTGCCAAGTTTGCCATTTTCTTTTTCTGAAAGAAAAATGAGATGTAAGAACTTGCAATAATATGTGTTCTGGAGAACTGTAGTGTTAGAACTTTTGGTTCTTACAAAATTTTCATTTTGGATCTTCAGGCTAAAATGATAAGCACTCGAAATTTCAAGCTTGAGATTTACATAATTAATGAGGAAGGTGATTGTACTGCACCACTCTCATTGAAACAATATAATGTAGGATAGGCGCTTATACCGCACTACTCAAGCAACAGAAAAATTAAATATGCAGAGCAAGGTGGGCGATTATACCGCACCACCTAAAATTGCTGTAAAATTAAATCTGTAGTTCAAGATGGGTGATTGTACAGCACCGTCTTTGATCACAGTAAAATTAACCAAATAAACACTGGGTTAGTAATCAGGAGCTACACCAAAGAAGAAATAAAAAAATATAAGTAATTGTTATATTTGAAACTAGGAGTAGACATGGTGCTAGTAGATCTTGGCAAAGGTACATCAAGCAAGTGAGGCAGAGGAGGAAGAAGAACAATAAGATCCTTGAAGGAAGCATTTTTCAACGAGGGGAATGAGACCTGGTTAGGGTTAGAGACTCTTGTTGATAACGTGTTATGAATATGCAAAAGTTAGAGAAGTAACCCTTGCTAGAGACAGAAGCGAAGCGGGTGCAATTTATCACTGTTTAGTTTTGTAACTCTAACACAAAAGAATTGTAGGTAAAGAGAGGAAGATAAAAATACTGATATTATTGTTTTCACTTTTTATTTTTTATGTGTTGTGATCACACATGAAATGCTCTTTAAATAGAGCCACGCCCATGAAAACCTGCAAAAGAGAAATGAGTGCTCTTTGAAAAACCTCATACAACAACAACATAATCACTATTCTAAAGTCTTCCTCACCTTCAACTAAAAACATGTAGGCATTCACTCCCACAACTTTTACAACAATCCCTTAAAATCCTTCTATTTTTGTGAGCGAAATGAAGTTCTGTTCTTGTTGTTAGATTGCTTTTTGGAGGGAGCAGAACCCCCTGTTCACCCAAAAGGTAACTCATGCGAAGTATCCAATGCAAATGTAACTTTTACGTTCAATCCCTATCTGATGAGGCTTATTTGTCCCCCATAATTAAATGACTAAATGACTCCGGTACTCCTATTGTGTACAAACTTACACCCCAAAACAGCTTAGAAAAGAAATAATATTTGCCAAAACAAATGCTGGTATATGTAATTTGGATCAAATTAATTGTTTCAAAATTTTATTTCGACAATTGCCAACAACGGCGAATAGCTCGGAAGCCGTGAGTAGTCATGCGATTCAAAAAATTACAGCCAGCTAGAGGCATCCTCTCATTTTGCTTGGAACCTGCTGCTAATTGAGTCGTAACCGGGTACATGTACAACTGCCACAAAAACACGAGGGCTTAATTTCTCACCCCTTAATCAATGTAACACCGGACAAGATATATGAGATCAATGTGTAAGCAATTGGAAATTACCATTGCCATATGTTGCCAGTGTTAGCGGTGAAGAAATAATCTTCTGCGCGATTGTAATAATATCTTTCAAGCTCACTTCTTCTACCGTCTTCAAGAAGTGCTCCACAGGTTTCCTGCAATGGTAATCAGTAACATACGTCTTAGCAAGTCGCAACAAATGCTGTAAAAGCCTACCAAATAGATAAAATGGAACAGATATTGAATTACCTCTCTCCGTATGTCAAAACCTGCCTTCCTATATCCTCTGATGCAATCATCTGCAAAATGGAAAACGAAAACCCATTAAGAATGACCAAACTCAACAACAAATACTAAAATAACGACAAACTAGTGCATTGGAGAACCACTGCACCATAATCATGTGTGTACGAGAGAGGTCATACTCTAGATTCTAGATTCATTAAAACTGCCGCCTTTGTGGACTCCTTGGCACGTTTAAGCTGTACATCCGTAACTGCGAGCACAGAAGAAATAAAGGCACCATGAGAATCATAAGTCCTTCATTCAGAAACAAGAAGTGAGAAATACGAAGAGCAAACCTTGTCCAGGTGTTGCAATTGTAAGTAATTCTTGTGCTGCTATATCAACTGCTTTTGACGCAAATTCAGAGCCCTACATTCAAAAGTAGCGCCAAAAGAAATCATTTTTCAAATAATAAGATTCATACTTTAATTATTTACCAAACAGACTCATCAAGCCAACTGATGATTCATATTCAATAAAGGCATACACAAAAGCCATCCTGATATATGTGTTGTGCACTAGAGAGACCATCTTCATAAAACTAGTTCCAATTACCAAAATTGAAATTATAAACTCAAGTTAAATGCACAAGAAAACAGAACGCGTTGTTCCAACAGAAAATATAAATCGCCAGACTTCATATTCAAATATGAAATCAGGCAGAAGCCATATCAAGAAATCTATCTTCTGTCCTGGTCATACAAACCAACATGCAGAGATGCTCACCCCGGAAATCAACATTAACTACAATAATAGAAAACTCAAGGTTGAGCCTTACAGTGCTTGCATAAATACCAAACAACCCAGAATCATTAAAGATGCTGTTGAATGCAGAAAAGGATTGGATCTGTGGATACTGATTCAAGACGCGGAGATCTGTCGTCAAATGAACATAATGATTGTTATATAAAAAGTTTAAAAAAAAATGTCCAACCAAACAAGAATAATGGTCAAGCACTCTAGTAATTAGCAACAAACTAGAAACCTAGGCAAAACTTACATAGCCTTGAGTGCATCCCCTTTCCAGGGCCCCCAGCGGAGAAAGATCCACCACCTCCCATAAGCAACTGCAAATACAGATTTGTTCTCGTCACTCATCTAAACATGACATTTTGAGTGTTTATTATGATGACCTACCAATAAGTAATACCTAGATGATTCTACAAATTTCTGTAATATTATGTTAAGCATTCCAAGAGTAAATGTGGAACCTGGAGAACTGTCAAAAGAATGGCTTGCTTCTCCTCACGCCAGCCACCAGGAACCTCAAAAGCAAGAGCTACGTGTGTTTCCTGGATGATAAGGAGTATAGCAGATAGCATGTTAGTAACAAAATTAAATAATTTACGTGAAAATTTCCTACATTTTTGTATCAGACAATGAGGAGAATACGAAGGAAAGGAGAAACAACTTTTGAATGGACAAAACTACAAACCGGTGTATCAGCTTGATAACGGAACTCTCCTCCAACATATTTGGATAGCGGCTCCTCATAGCGAGGCACACTCGGTAGGTCAGAGAGAAGAGGTTCTGCAATGGATACAATCTCCTGATGATCAACCCCAGATGCTGCAAGAACTATACGAGGAGCAGTATAATTTTCCTGAAATTCCCATGTCACTACCAGTCAGTAGCCACACCAGACCAGACATTAATAGGAAATAAGGATAGAACAAGGTTAAAAGATAGTAAACAAAAAAACCATGTTATTCATTTGAATAAATAACAACTACGCTGCATGCAGTATTGAATTTTAGGATAAGGGATAAGCATGAGTGCGCAGTATTTATAGGTTTATGATCTTACAGCAATGAACTGCTCCAAGATGCTGCCATTCAATCTGTTCAGTGATGATTCAGAAGCCAAAAGAGGATTAGCCAATGCACCAGAATAACCAGCAGAATGAATTGCCTCCAACAGTAAGCCCTGGGGATTCTTAGAGAGTTCTCCAATCTCTGCCCGCACTTTTTTGAGCTGTATAAAAATTAAGTGAACTGAAATAAGAACGACGGAACAATTACAGAAATTGACAACAAATCGCCATGTATGAATACCCAAACTACAAACCTTCTTTGATCGCATTTGCAGACATAAATAGACATATAAAGACAATTACTTTTAAGAAGTTCATCAATAATTTCAATGTGAGCCGAAACTTTTCATCTGCAAAACCTCCCAAATTCAATCAAACTTATCTCTTTCAAGTGCACAAACTTATTCTCAGCAAAGACTATGTCAAAAAGTCCTGTTGTTTTTATTTTATTTTTACAAACTGGAAATACTAAATTAAACAGAAGACAACCTTCTACCACCCCAACTCCTCCCATCTTACCAAAGAGGGAGATTTATAACAAACTATAGAAAGGTATATGAATGCAACAGATTTTTTGCCCAAAGAATCCTAAATGGATGTCCAGTAACTTGACAGAATATTTAAGAAACAGAAATTTTACCTCTTCATTGACTTCCCATTCCAAGAAGGCAGGATTCCTCACAGAGTCAACAAGTAGTTCCACCATCTGGGGAACATAGGTCTTGATAGCATCAAAAGTATATCCCATTTGCTCCCTAGAGGCACTGGCTCCTATGTGACCACCGATTGCTTCCACTTCTCTCACAATGCGTAAGTGGCTCCGGTTGGTTGTACTCTTAAAAGCCAATCGTTCTAGCAAGTGTGAGGCACCACTGGATACTGGTGTCTCATATATGGAACCAGAATCCACATATATTCCAATGGACGCTGCAGGACTCTGAATACTCAACACAAAAAGAACCAAAATTAATCAACAAGACTGAGCAGTAAAATGAGAAGGCTGTACAAGAAAAGAAAAGTATAGCTACACTGTATTACATACCGTTGAAGTTTCTGAAGCTATTTTAACACCGTTAGAAAGAGTTGTAATCTGAGTTTTGCTTGGTTCAACATAATCAGGTACTGGAGGAGGGAGGTTAACACCTGGGAGCTGGGTTTCCAACGGAGGAAGAGCACTTGAGCTCTCCCCAGTCAGCCAGCTAAAGAGACCGCTTGAGGATGGCTTCGATACAGCTGCACTTGTTGCAAACCGGGTGGCCCCCAAATTTCCACGGCCCTACTCGGACATATTCACATCAGGGAACAGTCAACGACACTATCACTACGTATAAAAATTAAGAACAACAGCATTTCGCATCCAGCAACAACCATAAATTGCTCCTTACAAATTTTCCTGAGAAAATCTAACTCTACGATATTTATCAATCAAATTAAAAATAGACAGTATCATATATGCCCAACAAAAACCAAATACTAGAAACTCAATTCCTCATTTTAATCAAGAAAAATACACATAAATCACGAGGACCATATTTTCCATTTTATTCCTCCAATTAAAAATAAAAATCCTCACTCGTAGTTACAAATCTAAATACACAAAAATGCTATAAATTCGCACCAATCAATAAAATAATACCCAAATTTCGTCATACAATCGTTAAAAAATCCAGGAAACAAAAACCTAGAAAAGATAAACGCAGATCTCACAGCACAAATCCCATTTGGTTTACAATGCATCGGAAACGGAGCAGAACATTAGGGTTTGGGAGGCGGCAGGTTGGGACTGACCTTGAGGGACCTGAGTCGGGAGGCAGCCTTGTACATGGCGATGGAGCTCAAGATTGAATGAAGCCCTAGAAAATAAATTGGGGATTTTTGCAGCCTCTGTTCCTCTTAAAGGTCTGAGTTTTTTCTGAGCGAACAACAAGAGAGAGAGAGTGGCTATTGAAATAAAACGGTTAAAACAGATGTAGTTTCGGAGACTTGAACTTGTCTACAGTTAGTGTTGGGCTTCGGTTACTGGGCCGTTGAAGGCCCAAAAGTATTATGTGGTGACATAACTGTTTGGACCTTTCAAGTTCGAACATGTCAGAATATTATAAGCAGCCTTCATGAGGCGGTATAATACAAACCCACAGAAAGCAATACAGCACAAAAGATAAATAGACTCGACTTTGCTCACCCTCAGGGCATGGCTGATCTTGAAGGAGAGCAATTTATCCTTCAGTTTCTTCACCTCTTCATACAAATCCGACATGTTCTGGTTTTTCACCTTCCATAAACCCTGAACCTGTCCAGTTATCTTTCTCTCTTAACACAGAACAAGGAGTAAAAGGAAAAGGAAAACCGCAAAACTGCTAAAGTATCAAACAACCAAAGACAACGTAAACCACCTTAAGCAGAAAAATGTAATCACAGTACTAACCAGCCTGCATACACACGAGTTTGGAGTCGCCTTGGACAGAAATCCTTGTAAAACCTGTTTTATGAGCACAATTTAACCCCAAAATAACAGCTCGGTACTCAGCAACATTGTTGGTTACAACACCCAGACCTTAACGTATTTCACCGATCTACATGAGGAAAAGCATGGTTAGAGTCTTCGAAAGACGAGTAACTATAAGAAAAGACCACCCAGACGTAAAATGTATACCAAGCGTTCCATCGTCTGCTTGCAACACAGCTCCGGCACCAGCTATTCCAGGGTTTCCGTTTAATGTACCATCAAAATGAAGAATACAGGAACCCTGCATATTTAACCTGTCCCTGTAGTATCTTTGGTAAGTAAATACGTTGACATTGTCGAATTCACAAATATTTGGTGGTGGTTTTTAGTTTCTACCCGGTGTTGATTTTGTGCATGCTGTGCTGAGAAACAAGTTAAATCAATTGACTGGAGCCAATGTGCTTGCTGAGATTGATTATTTGCAACCGGAGATCCAGCCACAAGAAGGGTGGTTCGGGTAGCTTGATCATACTCTGACAAATTTCTTATTACATGATCATGTGTTATCTACCGTATAAACAACTGAAAAGTCAGAGGAGCTAAATTTTGATTTTGATCTTGATGTAGTACCGAACAGGCTTCAGGGGATGCATGAAATTTGGTTAACATGCTAGACCACCTTTGATTTTCCACTGACAATGAGATACTTTAGATCCTGTACACCAGAATTTGGACTTCATGCAATCAGTTAATTAATTATGAATCAGTTCCCGTCGAACCCTAATCATCGTGATTTATTTTATTTTATTTTTTGGTACGAGGGGAGTTTTATTGATATCGAAAAAAGTGTACACCTAGTCAGCGGAGGGGGAAAACCCTCATCATCGTGATTGAATCAATCAAACTTACCTGAAATACCAAATATGAAACCATTTTGATAGAGTTGTGCTGTCATCTAGTCATGTTATTCATCTTCTGCAAAACTGAAGCTCCAGTGGTATCCGGTTCAAGGTTGAAACTATTTCCAGTTGTAGCCTGTTTAGATGCTAATGGGTGGTCACCCTCATCTATACCCTAAACCCAATATTCGAACCGCGTTGGGACATTGCCCAGCGTAAGAAACAGCGAGGAACCTTCGTACCTATGCCTGAAATGGGATTTTACATACTGATTGATCACTCTATAGCCAAAAGTGGAGAAAAATAAAATGGTAGAGAAATATTCTTCCTTGGAGCAGGTGGCACTAGAGACAGGTTCGACATTGTGAACAGCTGTTTGTCCACAGTAGTAGGTGGGAGTGGTTCCATTTCTTCCATTAGTTCACCTCTATAAATTAACTGGTCACCATGCAGTGAAAGCAAACCACACACTCGAAGCCTTGGACTTGAATTACCAATGGCAGTCTTCAGAGGAACTTTCTTAGGTCTCGTAGTTGTGACATTGGTGGTCTCAGCCACGCTTTCCGCCGCTCACCTGGAGGGTTTCAACTTTGGGTCGGTTGGGTCTCAAGGTCTTTTCCCAGAATTCTATCAATCCTCGTGCCCTCAGTGTTGTGCGGAAGCGTCAACCAAGTGTGAGTGAAAAATAAACCACAATAACTGACAAAAGATAAATGGAACAATACCAACAAGAACACCAAGATTTATACTGGTTCGGCAATGCCTACATCCAGTTTGGAGACGACGGAGTATTTCACTATAATCAATGAGAACATACAATAGTGTTTATCACTCAATTTCCCAAAGACCCGAATAACCCCAAGCTCACACACTTACAATAGGAAGAGAAAACCAAAAATACAAAGCAAGACAATTTGAGAAAATTCTTCTCTATGCCGAATGGCTTCTTGCTATTTTTCTTTCTTCCTTGTTTCCTTGATGTGTTTGAGTTATGCCTACACCTCCTTTTATAGGCCAAGGCCTCTCATCAAGTCAAAAGAATTAGGCATAAGTGCATCCATTCTTTAACCACAAATTAGGCATAAGAGCATCCATTTTATTTCCCACATGTAGCATGCCAACCATCAATTTTGACCACAAAAGTAGCCAACATCATTTGTTGGTTTTAGACTACCTTGTTTGAGCCAACAATCAACACTCAGGTTAATGACATTGTCATCTCCATGTTACAGCGGGCGATTGAGAAGGTTCCCCGGGTGGCAGCCTCTTTGATAAGGCTTCACTTCCACGACTGTTTTGCTCTGGTTAGTTTCTGTCACTTTGAAATACTGTTACTTGCATATTCATATAATTATTGTATTTGCGTTCTTGCCGAAGGCTAAATATGATATGATTGGATGACAGGGTTGTGACGCCTCGGTGCTGTTAGACAACAGCACGATAATACGGAGCGAAAAGGGGGCAAAACCAAACGTGAATTCTCTGAGAGGGTTTGAAGTAATCGATGAGATCAAGGCCAAGGTAGAAGAAGCATGTCCCCTGACAGTGTCATGCGCTGATATTGTCGCTCTTGCTGCTAGGGGATCCACTGTACTAGTAAGCAGACTAATTAAATCCTCAAACGTCGTTTTTAAATAATGAATAAACGAACGTCCATAACATAGGCCTAACTATTAATTAATTATGACTTGTTAAATTTACTAATAAGTGATCAACTTGGTTGTTGTATGTGGTGGAATGGAACAGAGCGGTGGACCTGACTGGGTGTTGCCACTAGGAAGAAGGGACTCCATAACTGCGAGTGCAGAAGCATCAGATAGCGACATTCCAGCACCAATACCCCTTCTCTCAGCCCTAATAACCGCCTTTGAGCGTCAGGGTCTTGACGAAACAGACCTGGTTGCCCTGTCAGGTAGCCAATAATTACTCAACTCTCTCCTTTGTAATCATATTATTTATAAGCGATCTCTCAACTTGGTACGATCTTCGGATTTTCTCTTCGACTTTCAAGTTAGGTTTGATCTTTCTAATTTTTCCAAACGTCCCATGTTGTCAAATGTGTTGTCAAATTGAGGGTTCTTTTTGTCCATTCAAGACTAAAGAGACTTGAAAACGAACTGAAAGTTGAAGGGCAAATTGAAAGATGGTTATTATATATGGGAATGTGAAACATTTTGGGTTTTTGTTAGGATCTCACACTATCAATTTTTTTTTTTTTTTTTTTTGAACAAAGGATGTTACACTATTATTAATAGGGTAAAACTAACTTGCTTCACAAATCACAACGGTGTAAATGCAGCACAAATTCAAGCTGAACATTTATGGGGTTTTTTTAATCATAAAAACAATATCAATGCAGGAGCGCATACAATGGGGTTTGCCAAGTGTCGGTTGGCCAGGAAATCTGTTTGCCCTGGCGGAGGTGGCGACAACACCACTGCTCCCTTGGACGTTGTTTCCCCTACAAGGTTCGACAACAGCTACTTCAAGCTTATAGTTGGGGGACATGGACTTCTCCCTTCAGACCAAGTGCTTCTGACTGGGAAGGGAAGGCAGGCGGCTGAGCTGGTGAACACCTACGCAGCTAATGAGAGTTTATTCTTTCAGCAGTTTGCTAAGTCCATGGTTAAGATGGGGAACATTAATCCTCTCACTGGATCAAAGGGACAAGTCCGGAAGGACTGTCGCCACCTTAATTAAGTTATTTACTATGTATATGCTCAAAGTTTAAACTAAATAAGACCTTTGGATTTTAACTTTTCACGTGATTGCTCCCTGGACGGTGCGGTGAAATGCGAAACTTCTTTTTGCTTATAACCTTTGCTTCCTCTTTCTTCTTTTCTGTTTTCCCTACTTTTCTTTCTCTAATTAGTGTTAAACACATTGAATTAAGAAAGAAAAAATTATACATCAACGTTCCAAAATTTCCAAAATATACATTTACTGTCACGTAATATGAAATATGACTTTTGTTAAAAAATTGTTATTGAAATTTCAAAAGTGTGGTTTTGCAAGTGTTGATAACAATTGCCTAGAATACTAAAGTTTCAACGCTAAGCATTTGGAATTAGCTTAAGTGATGAGGAAAGGTGGCGATATATGATGTAGAGCAACTAGTGACTCAAATTATGGAGCGGTTAAACAAGCATAAGCTCCGTAGAAATAGGTTCTTAGAAATATGAAGACGCCATGTCTAATTGGTTACCCTTTCATGCGTTATTTTGTAGAAATAGTCAAATATGATACGTGAGATAACTTTTGAAAATGCTTTATAACTTTGTGTTTTATTCTCTGAAAATACATGAGATAACTTTCCCACCATTGCACTGCGCCTATGAAAAACAGTTTTCCCGTATTTCTGTTCAGCTTTTCTATATTTACAATTTTCGGCAAGGATTGTCGTTTGTATCTAAACTTTCCAATGAAAATGCTTCGTGTTTCACATGAGGCTAGCTTTTGCCGCAAAGAAAAGTTAATAATAATACACTACTATGAGCAAATCTCAAAACAAAACCAAAACAAAATTTTCTTAAATTTTTAGCATAAGATACACACAACATAATGTAACACGCATGCTTCATGCATATAAACCAACGTCATTCAAGCAATCCAAAGTAACATTCATGTCTTAAAAACTGAAAAATGAACTACTACAATTAAGGAAACACAATCGCTGATACGTGAGACTCTATTCTCCAAAACGCCCACTCACGAGTGGCACCGCATGATGTCTCGTATGGGAAACCAATTCCCGCATTGCCAACGGTCAAGTATTTGACGTCAAAATGGTATAAAATCATTACAAAATTTTCAATGGATCATCCACCCATTCAGTGATATCTCTAAAATGATACTGTAGACATCGAAATTTCGGTGAAATGAATGTTAACCAATAATTAAAATTTCAACGCTTACGTGTCACATAAATTTTACATGTAGCGTGTGACTCAACGAAAAATCGAAATAAATTGGAAAGGTCATCAAATAGGACACGTGTCAATATCTGGCAGAAATGATTTATTTCATCTGATTATTTAAATCCAAAAATCAAGTTTTGGAATTCTATAAATAGGAGGCCAAGGCATTCATTTCAGGGGGAGAAAAAGAAAGGAAGAAAGAGAGAAAGAAAGGAAGAAAGAAAGAAAGAAAGGAAGAAAGAAAGAAAGAAGGGAATTTACATCACACCAAAACCTTGAAGCCTTGAAACTCTAAAGCTCTCAAGCAAATCCCGAAGGATCAAGAAAACACTCTTCGTTCTTCGTCAAACCCTCCTTCAAGGTCAAGCCCCAACGGCCCTTGAAGAACTTCCGCCGACTCAAGATCAAGCCCCGACGGCCCCTTGAAGAAAGTGTTCATCATCCGTTCGTCCTAAGATCAAGCCCCAACGGCCCTTTGGATCAACAACCTCAACAAATCCACACATCCAATCAATCTTCAAGATTAGGCCCAAAAGCCCTTGAAGATCCGCTCATCCATCAACCCTCAAGATCAAGCCCCGACGGCCTCTTGAAGAAATCCATACACTCAGTCTTCAAGATTAGGCCTAAAAGCCCTTGAAGATCCGCTCATCCATCAACCCTCAAGATCAAGCCCCGACGGCCTCTTGAAGAAATCCACACAACCATTATTCAAGATCAAGCCCCGACGGCCCTTGAAGAAAGTGTTCATCGTTCATCATCCGTTCATTCAAGATCAAGCCCAAAAGCCCTTGAAGAAATCCACACAACCATTATTCAAGATCAAGCCCCGACGGCCCTTGAAGAAAGTGTTCATCATCCGTTCATCCTTAGATCAAGCCCCAACGGCCCTTTGGATCAACAGCTCATCCACAAACCTACACCCTACGAAGATAGAATCAGAGGATCAAATTACAAAGAGATTGTAACCCCAAAATCATTAAAAAATATATTTTGTACACGTATTCTTGTTTCTTGTTTCAGGAACTTTTCGTGTTTACAAATTTGGCACGCCCGGTGGGATCTTCTCTACCTCTCATCTCTGTCTACGTTCAAGATATTCAAGCACAATCCATGGCTTCAAACAAAGAACAAGTCATGACTATCGGCACTACCTCCATTGAAAAACAGCTGATTCAGATGAAGGAAACAATTGCAAGGCTGATAAAGACTGCAGAGGAGAAAAACTTGCAAACCGCCGGACTCATCAACCGTCTGGAGGCGCAACATGGTGTCATAGTGAAACCAAGCTCTCTTCCAACTAAGAGGACCGAAGAAGGCTTCAACCCAAATGCCTACGAACTCATGTCAAAGGCTGGGCATGACTTTGCTTCCTCTTCAAATCTTGGAAAGAAGGTTTCAAACACCGTCAACGACAAAGATCGCGACCTCACTGAGACTCAAAAGAAGTTGAAGGAGCATGATTATGGAGTTGACAACAACAAAGCTGGACTTGGCTTCACACCAAATGCACCCGTGAAGATTTCAAGCAAAGTGAAGAAAGCTAGCGCTCAACACATCAGCGTGAGCATTGAACAAGACCAAGAAGAGCCTAAACCCTCCCCTCGGACGTCGGTCTTCAATAGGATGAGCCATTCAAGCTCCAGAACTTCAGTGCTTAATCGCATTGGTGGTCAAGACCGAACCTCTGTCTTCAAGAGGCTTAACGCGCCGACATCCCAAAGCTCTGTTTTTGAAAGGTTGTTAAAACCTAAGAAACAAAGCAACACAGTTATCTCTCCTCTGCGACGATCAGCTTCAGAAAGATTTGAAGGTAATGAGAAGCCTTTTGGAAAGAGGAAGACAACCCCAAAGGGAGAAAAGCTCGATGGGTTAGGAGAAAAAGACGACGCTCGAAGCTTGATTCCTTCAAGGATGGAGCGCCAAGCAATCCTAGAGGTCGACACAAAAGGACCACTGAAGGTAAGGAGGCGCATCATCGTCCACACTGGCAAATCTTCATGCCAACAAACCCAAGAGAACGGCACTGAAGAGGAGATCCAAGATGTTTTCTACATCACGGTTCAAGAAGGTAAAGAAGACGAAAACCCGAGGAAATACTCAGAGTCCCTACTCTCCGACCCTGATCCAAGCGGCAGTACAACCATGCAAGTCATGACCACTGGAGCAACTTCAATCGAGGAGCAGCTAGCTCAGATGAATGAAGCAATCGCAAAGCTCACACGGACTGTGGAAGAGAAGGACTTGCAGATTGCTGCACTTGTCAACCAACTAGATGCGCTGCCCGACGTGAAAGTCGACCCAAATATTGGCCTATTAAAGAAAGAAGACGACGAAGAAGAGGAGCCACCAGTGGAGAAAGTTGAAGAGAAGCCGAAGCTAGACCAAGCAACGGCATTCATGGGATCTCTCTCTATCCAGCAGCTACAGGAGATGATCGCAAGCACTGTCAAGACACAGTACGAAGGAAGCTCGCATGACTCCGCACTGTACTCAAAGCCTTACTCCAAGAAGATTGATGCTTTGAAGATGCCAAGGGGTTATCAGCCCCCAAAATTCATGCAGTTCGATGGAAAAGGCAACCCGAAGCAACATGTCGCCCATTTCATTGAAACTTGCAACAATGCTGGGACAGAGGGAGACTACCTCGTCAAACAGTTCGTGCGTTCGCTGAAAAGTAACGCTTTTGACTGGTACACTGACCTCGAACCCGAGTCTATCAACAGTTGGGACCAGCTAGAAAGGGAATTCCTCAACCGTTTCTACAGCACTCGTCGTACTGTAAGCATGCTAGAGCTGACCAGTACGAAACAGTGGAGAGATGAACCTGTCATCAACTACATAAATAGATGGCGCTCCTTAAGTCTGGATTGTAAAGATCGGCTTTCTGAAACCTCTGCCATTGAGATGTGCGTTCAAGGCATGCAGTGGGGACTACACTACATCCTTCAAGGCATCAAACCACGAACATTTGAGGAGTTAGCCACCCGCGCCCATGATATGGAGTTAAGCATCACCCGTCATGGGAAGAAAGAACAGATCGCCGACTACAAGAATGACAAAGTTTTGGGGCCAAAGGTGGATAAGGCTGCGTGGAAACCCACCAAGGAAGCAATGACGCTCAACACAACTCCAGTCAAAACCCATACACGAGGCAAGGCGATTCAAACCGAAGCTTTTCGTGATCAAGAAATACGTAGACGCACTTTGAAGGAGCTTGAGGAGAAGACTTATCCATTCCCCGACTCTGACGTGGTTGCCATGTTGAAAGACTTGCTTGACAAAAAGGTGATCGATCTACCTGAGTGCAAACGGCCGGAAGATATGAACCGTACTGACAGTCCAAGGTACTGTAAATTCCACCGCTTCATTAGTCATCCGACGGAAAAGTGTTTTGTGCTAAAAGATCTCATCATGAAGTTGGCTCAGAAAGGGATCATCGAGCTAGATCTTAATGATGTGGTGAAGTCAAACTATACCACCGTCACTTCTGGCTCTTTGAACTCAAAATCTTCACCTCAACCGCTGGGGGCATGCTCCAAAACCATGTCAGTCAAGTCAAGTGAAGATGAAGGATGGACTTATGTCACTCCAAAGAAAATGCACAAGAAACATAGGTCTCCTCCACAAGTTCACCAATCGGAAAGGGGGCAAAGCAGCTACCGTCAACCTTCAAAGCTACATGAAAGTGTTGAGGATGATGAAGTTATGACACAAAGATCGCCCGTTGCCATCACGATGCGCGATTTCTTCCCAAAAGACTTCTTCAATCACTCAATCAAG